AGTAGCTGGGATTACAGGTGTGTGCTGCCATGCCTGGCTAATTTTTGTATTTTTAGTAGAGACGAGGTTTCACCATGTTGGCCAGGCTGGTCTCAAACTCCTGACCTCAAGTGATCCCCCAGCCTCGGCCTCCCAAAGTGCTGGGATTGCAGGCATGAGCCACGACGCCCGGCCTGGTTCTCAGATTTTTATCATGCATAAAAGTCTGGGAACTGGGGGCAGGGAGTAAGGGGGGAAGCATATTAAAATGCAGATTCCAAGGCCCTATTCCCAAATATTCTGGTTTATAGACTAAGAATTGGCACCTAGGAATCTGCATCTTTTAAATCTTATTTTAAAAAGGTAATTTCATGTAGTTAGTCCATGGACTACACTTTGAGAAAGAATGCTGTCTCTACACACCATCACCCTTGGGGTCCCTTCTCTAGGTAGAATAACTACAACTCCTTTGGTCTTTCAGTGAGTTAACAGAAATGTATTTAGGCCGGGCGCAGGGGCTCACGCCTGTAATCTCAGCACTTTGGGAGGCCGAGGAGGGTGGATTGCTTGAGCCCAGGAGTTTGAGACTAGTCTTGGTAACATGGGGAAACCTCATCTTTACAAAAAATAAAAAACAGCCAGGAGTGGTGGTATGTGCCTGTGGTCCCAGCTACTCAGGACGCTGAGGTGGGAGGTTGGTTTGAGCCCAGGAGGCAGAGGTTGCAGTGAGCTGAAATTGTGCCACTGCACTGCAGCCTGGGCAACAGAGTCAGACCCTGTCTCAAAAAAAACCCCTGCCCCTCCGCAGTCCCCCCACCCCCCAAAAAAGGAAATGTATTTAGCCTTTAGGCCTGGGACATGGGAATATGAAATCAAAACCTTTGCTTTGAGAAGTTCACAGGCTTACAGAGGGAACAAGACAGAGCTAACTCTGAGGAATGTGTCCAGAATTCAAGAGTAAGTTCACAAGCACACTGGGGTATAATCAACAGATGGTCAAAACTTACGGCACTCAGGAAACCTTTCTTGGTGGACTGACAGTACAGACTGGCACGTATAGATAGGTCAAGGTTAAGTGACTTTATAGATGACAATTTCACAAGAGGTAAGAGAGACGGTCACAAATATCCAGGCTAGATCTCAAACTCTGGGGGAAGCCATGGGAAAGTTAATGAATCATTAAAGAAAAGAGTCATTTTTCACCAATGGACTTTGGTCAGAACAGACCACTAAGCTCTATGTTGCGTGTGTGTTTTTTTGGGTTTTTTTTTTTTTTTTGAGGAGTCTCTGTTGCCCAGGCCCGGAGCGCAGTGGCATGATCTCAGTTCACTGCAACCTCCACCTTCCAGGTTCAAATGATTCTCCTACTTCAGCCTCCTGAGTAGCTGGGATTACAGACGCCCACCACCATGCCTGGCTAAGTTTTGTATTTTCAGTAGAGACGTGGTTTCACCATGTTAGACAGGCTGGTCTTGAATTCCTGACCTCAAGTGATCTATCCACCTCAACCTCCCAAAGTGCTGGGATTACAGGCGTGAGCCACCATGCCCGGCCTATGTTGTGTTCTTATGAGTGTATGTGTGGCAGGGTGGGGTGGGACATGGGAGGCTTCTTGGAAGGTGGTGCCCTAGAGACTTCAGAGAGAAAGGCAGCCTGGGAGGTAGCTGTACACCAGCTAAGTAACCAGTGGTTTCCTTTTCTTTCCTAGGAGGTCACAAGCTCGAAAGTGGACGTGTTCAATGCTAACAGCAACCTCAGTTCTGGGCCTCGGCCCATCTTCCCCCTGGAGCAGCTAGTGAACAAGCCTGTAGAGGAGCTCCCCGAGGGTGTGGATCCCAGCAGGAAGGAGGTAGGTCAGACCCTCAAAGGAGGACAAATAAGTCCATTTGTTGGACCACCATAGTTGACTCTCAGATTTGGCCCTACAGGTGACTAGGTGCTGGGGATGAACAAGACAGATGGGATCCTGCCTTCATACCAGCTTGTATCTCAGGAGGAGAGAGATCAGAGAAGCCTGGTTACACTATTATTTAATTTAAGGGTTAAGTGCCAGAAAGTGAAGTACAGGAGCTGTGAAGAGTATTACAAACAGGGCCGGGTGCAGTGGCTCATGCCTGTAATCCCAGCACTTTGGGAGGCTGAGGCGGGTGGATCACCTGAGGTCAGGAGTTTCAGACCAGCCTGACCAATATGGTGAAACTCCATCTCTACTAAAACTATAACAATTAGCCAGGTGTGGTGGTGTACACCTGTAATCCCAGCTACTCGGGAGGCTGAGTCATGAGAATTGCTTGAACCTGGGAGGTGGAGGTTGCAGTGAGCCAAGATCATGCCACTGCATTCCACCCTGGGCAACAAAGTGAGACTGTCTCAAAAAAAGAAAAAGAAAAAAAGGTATTACAAAGAGGAGCCTGATTTAGAGATTTCCTTCTGAAAGATAAACCGGAATTATTGAGGCAAAGTAAGTTAGTTCTGGAGAAGGGACAGCTAACATGAAGCCCAAAGGCAAGGAATAAAAATGGGGGCAAAACTGTAAGATAGCCAGAGTGGCTGTGGTGTGCAGAGCCAGGGAGGGAGGCAGGGCTGAACTGGCAGTGCCTTCTACCCCAAGTTAAGGATCGTATCATGTATCCTGGCAGTGAAGGGGAGTATCATTATGGTTGAAGCAGCAGAGTGACAGACTTACACTGGGCTGGGCACGGTGGCTCATGCCTGTAATCTCAGCACTTTGAGAGGCCAAGGCATGCGGACCACCTGAGGTCAGGTGTTCGAGACCAGCCTGGCCAACATAGTGAAACCTCAACTCTACTAAAATTACAAAAATAGCCGGGCGTGGTGGCTTGTGCCTATAATCCCAGGTACTTGGGATGCTGAGGCAGGAGAATCACTTGAACCCAGGAGGTGGAGGTTGCAGTGAGCCGAGATTTCACCATTGCACTCCAGCCTGGATGACAAGAGTGAAACTCCGTTTCAAAAAACAAAACAAAAAAATAATAATAATTACAGCCGCTCATTGAACAAAAGCCTGGAAGGTGGCAAGGGCAGCCATAGGAACACCAGTTAGGAGAGACAGCGTAGCTGCTCTCAGGCTGATAGGTAGGTGGGAATCTAGAATAGGTCATGGTGGAGAGAAACATTTAGGAGGTAAAATCAACGATATTTGGTAATTACTGGATAAAGAGTATGAGAGAAGAGAAAATAGCATCATTCTCCACGATAGAAAACTGGATCAGGCTGAGCTTAGTTTAGTGGTAGCTACATCCTTTGAGGTTTAGATACATGTTCAGCGGGCAGGCAATTCAGAGGAACACCAGGGCAGAGATATGAATTTAAGACTCATCAGCACATGGTCCATGCGGTAACTGTGGTTAGCACAGCAAGAAGAGCTTGTTCAAAACACTTTTTTGTGTGCGTGTGAGGAATGGAGTTTGGGGCTGGACACTTTTTTTTAATTTGAGATAGGGTCTCACTCTGTTGCCCAGGCTGGAGTGCTGTTGCAATCATGGCTTACTGCAGCCTCAACTTTCTGGGCTCAAGTGATCCTCCCATCTCAGCCTCCCAAAGTGTTGGAATTACAGGTGTGAGCCACAGCACCCAGCCTAAGAACACATTTCTAATATTCATTCCCACTTCACGAAGATCCAAAATAGGCTGCCAATCTAGCTTAGGGGTATTGAGAGGAGAGATAATATACTCTATATAAGTCAAAAAGTAGTCTTACAAATGAATCAAGGGATCACAGAAGAGAGATACCTAGTTTCTCTCTCAGAACATAAAAGTCTGTTAAGGGTTTCGACTCGATATAAAGTGTTTTGTTCCCAGAGAATTTCAATTCTGCCTTTTACCTTAGAGAGCACATTCCTGTGTTCTCTCCTGGTTCTCTCATCTGTGAGGTTGCTGGGAGGTTAGGAGGCACATGTGTCCTCACTGTAACATTGGGATGATCCCAGTATGATGACAAGGTAAGCCCAGCCCTTGGTACATAGTACTCTACAAATGAAAGCTGTTATTATCTCCTGTTCTACACCTGAGAAAACTGAGATCCAGAGAGATGAAGTGACTTGCCTAACATTACTAGTTAGTTGCAAAGCCAGAGCTAGAACCAGGCCTTTGGAGTCCCACTGTTACCATCACGCCATGCAGCATAAAGGAAGTATTTCTTTCTTTCTTTCTTTTTTTTTTTTGAGATGGAGTCTTGCTCTGTCGCCCAGGCTGGAGTGCAGTGGCGTGATCTCAGCTAACTGCAACCTCTGCCTCCCAGGTTCAAGTGATTCTCCTGCCTCAGCCTCCAAGTAGGTAGGATTACAGCCACACACCACCACGCCTGTCTAATTTTAGTATTTTTAGTCGAGACAGGGTTTCCCCATGTTAGCCAGGCTGGTCTCAAACTCCTGACCTCAGGTGATCTGCCCGCCTTGGACTCCCAAAGTGCTATTACAAGCATGAGCCACCACGCCTGGCCAATAAAGGAGGTATTTCTAAAGGAGGGCAGCCAATGTTATTGAACCAGAGGATTGATGGAAGGCAGAAATGGATTACTAATTTTAAATGGACAGACTCAAGACAGCCCCATCATGGTAGAAGCAAAGAAGGCTTAGATTCTTTTTTAAAAATCAGTTTTCTGTAGCGTTTTTTTTTT